AACAAGAAAAACAAAGATAAAAACATATTAGTTAAAATAAAATAAAATCCTACTAAAATTTGAGTTATGACAGTTGCCCCCCTTTTCTTTTCTTTTCTTTTCTTTTCTTTCTGTCAAGAATGAAAAGAAAAGACAAGAATAACTCCAAATTTTGTTTTTTTTTTTTGTTTTTGTTTTTGTTTTTGTTTTTTTCAACTAAACAGATAAAGTAAAACCAGTCGAATAATTGGACAAGTAAAGTAAAAACGGTTAGAAAATTGCAACGATCGGATTGACCGAACGAATGAGAGAAGACGGTTAGAAAACCGCAACGATCGGATTAACCGAACGAATGAGAGAAAATGACTAAAAAGCAGCAACGATCGGATTAATCGAACGAATGAGAGAAAACGACTAAAAAGCCGCAACGATCGGATTGACCGAATGAATGAGATAAAACGGCTAGAAAGCCGCAACGATCGGATAACCGAACGAGAGAAGTAAAAACGGTTAAGAAACCGCAACAATCGGATAAACCGAACGAGAAAAGTAGAAACGGTTAAGAAACCGCAACGATCGGATAAACCGAACGAATGGGAGAGCAACGGTCAAACGACCGAGCAAGTTGGGTTGCAACGGTCAAACGACCGAGCAAGTTGGGTTGCAACGGTCAAACGACCGAGCAAGTTGAATTGAGGTGATTATATAACCACAACGGTCGAATGACCGAAAAAGTAAAGTATCAGTATGGTCAAATGACCAGAACAGTAGAGTATCAGTATGGTCGAATGACCGAAACAGTAGAGCATGAGTATGGTCGAATGACCGGAACAGTAGAGCATGAGTATGGTCGAATGACCGGAACAGTAAAGCATGAGTATGGTCAAATGACCGGAACAGTAAAGCATGAGTATGGTTGAATGACCGAAAGGAGTAGAGTATCAGTATGGTCGAATGACCAGAACAGTAGAGTATGAGTATGGTCGAATGACCGAAAGGAGTAGAGTATTAGTATGGTCGAATGACCGAAACAGTAGAGTATCAATATGGTCGATTGACCAGAACAATAGAGCATGAGTATGGTCGAATGACCAGAACAGTAGAGTATGAGTATGGTCGAATGACCGAAACAGTAAAGCATGAGTATGGTCGAATGACCGAAAGGAGTAGAACATGAGTATGGTCGAATGACCGGAACAATAGAGCATGAGTATGGTCGAATGACCAGAACAGTAGAGTATAAAGTGAAATGAATCCATCTTTATTACTTATTTTTTAACTTTAGAGTGAGTTTGGATATTCCACCGATTTTTTATTACAAATTCAAAAAATGAGACTTAAATTAGTTATAAAATAATTAATTATTAAGTGAGAGAAGAAAATTTGCCTCAATTAAATATCTGGTGCTTTCTCCAAATGACCCAGAATGATGAGAGAAAGGATGTGACATGTGCTAATAAAAAACTTCTTCTTTCTTGAAGGTTTGAGAATAGAAAATTTGAGAAAATGCAGATCTTACCAAAACGAGGTAATCTGCAAAAAATAATACAATTTGAGATGATAAGTGGTACGTACCAAACTGTACAAAAAATTAGAACGCTGAAAAGCATGTTTGGAAACGCAAAAGAGGACCGAACCATTCGTGAAGCCAATCGAACGTGAAGCTCATCAATGCATAAGAAAATATGGGAATGGAAAGAAGAAGGCAGTAAAAGAAAACAAGGGGGGAAGGAAGGCAGTGAAAGGAAAGAAGAGAGAAAATATGACAGTGGGAACAGAGATATTTAGGTTTGAAGTTTGAATCTTTCCTAGTGGAGAAGGAATGCAGTGAAAGGAAACGAGTAGGAAAATAAGTTCGAATCTTCCAAGTGCAGAAGGCAGTGAAAGGAAACAAGTGGGAAAGTATGTCAGTGGGAAGAGCTTTTTAGGTTTGACTCTTTCAAGTGAAGAAGGAAGGCAGCGAAAGGAAGCAAGTAGGAAAATAGGCTTGAATCTTCCTAGTGGAGAAAAAATGCAATGAAAGGAACAAGTGAGAAAACATGTCAGCAGGGAACAGCTTTTACATTTTCATGCCATGTTTGAAAGGAATCCTAGCATCAGGATTTTCTAATGAGAAAGTAATTCCGAAATCGACTGTTATTAAAGTTATTAATAGTAATTTTTATAAGGAAGAAGTTCCTGTCAACCTTACCTCCTAAAGATTAGGAGGAAAATTATTCTAAAACTACGTCGTTTTAATAACTTTTTATTGAAAAAGACTAAACTACCCTATTTTTAAAGCACTCCTAAATGTGATATTTGTCCTTTTT